AAGAAAGAAAGAAAGAAAGAAAGAAAGAAAGAAAGAAAGAAAGAAAGAAAGAAAGAAAGAAAGAAAGAAAGAAAGAAAGAAAGAAAAAGAAAAGAAACACCGAGGAGTTGAAACAAAAGGGAAGATAGCTATACAAAACATACATGCTCCAAATACAAAGCAAATTTAAAGGTGGTCTAACTCAGAGCAATAAATGGAGTTGAGGAAAAGTAAAAATATGTTTAACCTTGACCCTTGGAAGTTCATTCTTCCAAGGCACTGGTTTCACACATAGGACTATTTTGATCTATTTCGAAGTGGAAAATATTAAATAATAATATAAATGCTATTTCTTAACTTATTTTTAGAACTGATTCATAGAAGCATAGAATATTTACAGTGAAAACATACAAATATTTTAAATCTTGATGATATAAAAATAATGATATAGCTGTCCAAAAAGAAAAGAAAAGTGGGATTTATGAGTGCTACTTTATTTACTTTTCTTAATGAAGAAATCATAAACATTTTTAGATAATGTCTAAAGTTGATGGTTATTATTATAAATTTTTTTTTCTTTTCTCATCACAACACACATATGAATCTTCCATCCAAAATACACTGTGCATTGGCTCAATCAAGCACATCAACATACATGTTCTCAGCAAATGATTTCCCAATTTTTGTGTCCTGCATACCTTGCCTTTTGTTTTGCCATCCTAGGTTCCCCATCCCCACCCTCTGCCATGTCCCATCTTCCTCCTCCATTGTCCCTGACATTCATGATTGCCCTGAAGTACTGAGGTAGGCAGGGCAGGCTTGTCCCTGCTTTACAAACAGAACACAGAGTTTTGACAATTCACCTGGACTCATTTAACTGCCAAGTGGTGATGCCAAGACTTGAACCAAAGTTTTCTGACTGTGTGAAGAAGTTGATATCCTGTGTCTGTTAGGTCCCATTCCATTCTGTCCCTCTTGAAAAAGTAGCTCAAGCATTTTACTCAAACTCATCCAAGATTTCCTTCTTTTTAGAAATCTTAGTGTATACGAGAAGACTCACTCTTGGGGAAAGAATTTGTTTTTCCTCTAAGGGAATGTCCGAACCGTTGGGTTTCATATGACAGTGATCACTGAACACTATCGGTTTGACCCTAGGAATACCCTTCCCCTTGAATGGAATTTTCCTGGGCTGTCATTCTCAGTTCTAGTGGTTTGGAGTAATCTGATGGAAGCTATTCATCTACATTTCAGGGTTATAGTATTTCAGGGCTAGAAGGTTTTTTAAAGGTCACACCATTAACTTCTTCCCATCAATTGCTTCCCAAACTTATGTGCAGACAGGGCTTTCTGTAGCAGAATCACCTGGGATCTTGTTAAACTGTAGATTCCTTGGCCCAGCTCATACTCAGAGAACCCAAATCTCTGGAGGTTAGACCAGAGTCTGTCTGTCCGTCTGTTTATTTATTTACTTCCTTCATGATAGAAGATGTCTGTGTGCATGAGAGGGGGAGAGAGTGAGAGAGAGAGAGAGAGAGAGAGAGAGAGAGAGAGAGAGAGAAACACCCTTCACAGGGTCTGGTTATGCTGCTACCCACTTCCTCTAGCCCTCCTGCCTGTAAGATCTTGGGCGCTTGTACGTGTTACTTGGCACGTGCGAAGCTAATCAGGCTAAGATTTGAACTGCAGTTGTCTTGTGGGATCTGGCTTCTTTTGAGAAGGGCATTATCACTGCGCCATGGAGTAGGCCCACAGTTTATTGTTTAATGAGCTACCTGGGTCATTCTCATGCACAACCAGGTTTGTGGACCAGGCTGTAGACCAGCTCCCCACTCAAGGCTGAGTGCCTGAACACCTCCAGCCACGGGAGACTCATTTCATCTTGAGCAGCAGTTTCTGTAGTTGGATAACTCTGTCTGCTACAAAATGTTTTTTCTTATGCTGAGCAGAAATTTGTCTCCTTGACACTTCCACCTAAACAAAGCCTTATTCTTTTTTTTTTTTTTTCTCTCACTTAGACTCAGGTCCAGGTTTTGTTTCATTTAGCTTCATATAATTAAGATGCTCCAAAGAGTTACTGCCCATGTCTTGAAATGCACAGGGTTCCTACCCAGGCCCTGTAAGTGTCTGGCACTGTGACTCTCATATAAATTAGATCCTGATTTATGTGTGTGAGAGGGCGCCAGCCAAAAGGATCCCATGGGGAGGTATGGTTCATTGAAATAAATCTGAAATTAAATTATCTTTGATAAAATTACAATCTGTCTGCCTTTGGCAGCAGGATAATGTATATATTTCATTAAATATTAAAGTTTAATTTTGCTTTTGTATATGTGTTTGTATTTGACTGTGCACCTGATTTTAGGAGCCATTTTAAAACACAAAGACTTAGAGAAGACTCAGACTACCAGAGCTGGAAGGGCCAGTCCTACTGGATCATTTTACAGATACAGAAATGGATGCCCAGATACAGTGACTTAGCAGTGTCACATATATGAGGTAAGTAGAGGGAGGACTAGAATCCAGTTTGGGTGCTCTCTTCTTCCACGTTTGATTTGCATTGCCATTGTGCTCTGCAGACAGTGCATGGTGTTCCTGGCACCTTTTTCTTTTGGAGGGTCAAGAGCAAGTGCTTAGGGAAGCTGCTGAGTGATTAATCACTCCGTGGAGTTTCAAACAGGCCTCCCCCAGCTGTTGAAGACCTATATTGGGGTCTTGAGGGGCCTGATCTGCATGGTCTGTGTAGGAGCTCTGTGGTTTGTGTGAGGCTTTTGAGACTCTTATTCATGCTTTGCTGTTACCATGAAAGGAACCTCAGGTCTGAGGGACAGCGGATCTCTCTTTACCAATATTTCAGCCCTCACCAGAAAGGGAGAGTAGACCTTCTTCTCTACTGGTGGTGGGGAGGTTCTGGGAAGCTGCACCTCACTTTGAGACAGGAGGAAGTAAAAGGGGTTAGAGCCAGTGCAGTGTTGGGAGAGGCCCAAGAGATTATCTAATTCTGTGTAGTTTGGGCCCAAGCATTGTGAATAAGGTTCTCAGAGTGAAGAGGGGGAGAGCCCTGATTCAGTAACCTGGGCAAACTTTTATTTCTTACACATGTCCACATAAATAACTCACTAGCAGTAGGCAAAAAAATTGAGTCAGAGTAGCTGGGTTAAAGTCTGGTCTTGACAGCATGACTCATGAGTCACTTAATAGATCTAAGCCCTAATGTGTGTGTTAACTTGTTTGTCCATTCACTTATTTATAATTTGTTGAGCACTTTCTATGTGCCAAGTACAGAATAGACATAAAGGATAACTGAAACATGAAACCTAGATGTACTTCCATTCAACAAATGAATGAGTCCCCTCCCCCCCCCCTTTTTGGAGAGAGTTTGGCTATAGGGTGTGTGCACTCAGAGAGATCGAAAATGAGAAATCGCCCCCCAGGGGGGATGGTCATGCCACAATCCCTTCTCTCCATTCTCCTCTCAGGATTTTGGGCACGCATGCACACACACCCAGTGTGAGTTCTAAGCCACCAGGTCTGGGACTCGAACTGTGGTCAACTATGTGGGAGTCCAGCAATGTAACTCATTTGCTGGTCCCATGAATGAGTCCCCCCTCCTTTTTTTTTTATCAGGAGAGCAAGATCATGGCACTTCTACTCAGAATGGAGTGCTAGGAGAGCTCCCAGGGGTGTGTGAACTAGAATGTCTCAACATTAGGGTCAGAGGATGCAACCTGGTGACCAAGGGCTGTAATCAGTTCTTGGACATATTTGATTTGGTCAGTTGTATTTTAAAAGACATAATTTAGTTGCCAATGTGGAAGATTCCACATAAACTCTAGACTGAAGTTTTATTTTGGATGGTCTGGCTATCCAGGGCCTATATTCCTACCTGGTAGCCATAGGCAGGACTTGAGTAATGGCTGCCCATAGATGAGCCCTGGGTTTTCTGGGTTTCTTTTCTTATCCCCATCCTGCTTCATTCATGAACCATACCTGCCTGGTCCCTCTGGGTATTCAAGATGGTGACCCTGGGCTTGGGCTGAGTGTTCTGTGATGGCAAACTTAGTCCTGCCCTACCTGTCGATGGGGAAACCAAGATTATGCTAATAATTCCAGAATATATGGGCTCAGGAGCAAGATGCAGGGGTGTGAAGGAGCCTTGGAATGAACAAGAGTAGGAGGTGGGCCCAAGCACAAACCTCTGTACCTCTCCTGATCATTTTCTATTTGCACAGCCATGTGTAGAGAATACTCCGAGAATAGGGGATAAAGTGAGCAAATATTAGGAAGCAGCTACCAGCTGTCACAACCCTTGTTTTATCTTGGTTTTGAGCCAAAAGGAAGAGTGAGGAAGGGCATCTGAAGTCAAGAATTAATTAAGAGGCTGGTTTCAGGTCTTTTGAATAGGATTTATGCAAGTGCTAGGAGTAAGGTCAGAGTGCATAAGCTCTGAAGGAGTCCTTAAGACTACTCATGCAGAATTTTGCTCAGAAGTTTGAGATGGTTACAGTCTTTGAAGGCATCATGAACGAAGGGGAATTATCTCCTCTTGTTATAGTTATTAAGATCCCATAGCCTATGAGAGCTGAAAGAACTTTCTCAGGTCACCTGGACTGGGATTTTTAATTTAGTAACCTACAGTTCATATTTGTGGGTTGAAACATGATTTACTTAAATTTACATGCTTTGGGAATTAGGAAGTTTCACATTTGTCTCTATTTCTGGCTCTTCTCAGAATACTGAGTGGTCTGGCAATGCAGGGTCATATTTGCATAGGGAAACCATAGGTCAGAGCTAAGGAGATCCTGCCTCCTCTTCAGGGGCTTGTAGCTCTATTTCTCCATAGTCTCTTCCATTCCCTATTGCCTTAGTCTTGGCTCACCTCTTGCATTTATGTCACCTATCTAATCTCAAAGACATTAGACATTGTGACTCCAATTTAGAACAGAAACTTTCAAATTTGTGACTCCCTGGGAACCTTTCATCAGATGAATTTAAAATTAGAAGCCCCTATGTAAAACAATTAAGTGTGAAGATATTTTGATAAAAGAAAGAGTGGGCTTGCCCATTATGTCTCCTGTTTCTCCCTTTTTAGGCAAGTCATAGAAGCCCTAAAACTCCATGAAGCATATGTTTAAATTGCAGAGATAGCCAGCCCCATCACTGCAGAGATGAGGAAAACTGAACTCAGAGAAAGGGAGAGGGCTTGTTCAAGCTTGGAGAATAGGTTTGTGGATGAGCCAAAATTTAAACCCATTTTTCCACATTCCATGCTAATCCTGTGGATTATACCAGAGGTAGAAAATAGGTTTTAATTCTCTTACTAACTCTTGGCAACTAGAAAAAATGTTGAGTTGGATTCTTTTGGCCTTTGTCTGGGCTTGGTAGGAAAGAAGGTAGTTTCTTAACAATGTCTACCTTGAGTAGAGGAAAGAGTCATGAGATCCATGTCATGCATTTACCATTTGTATACAATAATAACCTGCTTCTATAATCTGGGAAGCATTTCCCTGTTCATCTGAAAAAAAAATTGCTTTCTTTACCTTTAAAATTGGGCCTGATCCTGGCATCATATCCAGAGGTTCTTCCCATTAACTTATCCAAGAAATCCGAGGGTGACATAGGTTTGGGTGCAGAGCGGGCAGCTTCAGCCTCCTTAGAAGCAGCAAGGCTAAGAAGGGAGAGAGGAAAATAAGGGTTAATAATGGCCCTTTTTCATGCTGTGATCAGATCCCAACTTTGCCCAGCCCTTGTAGAATGACTAGAGCGTTCTTAGCCTGCAAAATGGGTAATATGGGCCCTTAATGAGGTAAGGCCAATGCTAAATTGTTTACCCAGCCCAAATATCAGCTAGCATAGGATCCTGGCAGGCAGCCAAGTGTCTGATTGGTGCTGAGATGCCACTGACTATTTTCAGGTTTCATTTCTGTGATTTTCAGTAATCACACTTGACAGCTGAATCTCCCTGAGATTAAAGGGTTAATCTTTTGATATATCTAGTTCTGTGCTTTGGATACTTGCACCTTCATGAATCCATGGATTAGCATAGCCAGAAAAGACCTTAGGGATTAAATAATCCAGCCTTTCCCTGAGGTTTCTTTTCAGAATCAGAGTCATTAATTAAAAAGAAAAAGTTGCCAAAGTCGAATGCATTCAGGAACACAAATTTAATCAGGCATCTTCACCTTGGGTCTCCTCAGAGCTTTTAACAAGTGAATATGCTTGTACTTTCAGGATGCTATCTCATGAAACATACAATTTAGAAAATGCTCAATTGGAAAAATTGAGACCCAGCTAGTTGAAGGGACTGACATGTTCCAGAGTAAATCAGTGGTAGCTATGTCATAGTATTAAGAGTTGGGTGACTTGAAGTTAAACTTCTGGAGATGCTTCACACTGTTTCTGTCATCCTGTGCACCCTATTGTCCCCATCTCCTCATGCACCCACTCAACAACGTGGCTTCAGATCCTCACTCATACCGCAATGTGAATTACCAATGTCTAAGAACAATGACCCTCTCACTTTTTAAATAAAAATATTTTATTTTAACTTTATTTATTATTATTATCATTATTATTTTCCAGTTTGATCAGAGAGAGACAGAGAGAGAGAGAGAGAGGAAGTGAGAAAGCAAGCCACCAGGTCCGAGACTTGAACCATGGTTGGCCATGTGGGAGTCCAGCGCCTTTAACCACCATGCCACTTGCCAGCCCCTCTCACTTTTAAACTCTCAAAGACATAGAGATTTTAGTCTAAGAGTCAGGTTTGGATGCTCAAGGGTTGAAGAACTTCTCTTTGGGTTGCTTTGGGCAACCAAGCATTTTTAGTCATGAAATTATACCCAGGAGATAGCTAGGAACTATGTGCAACCCTGACATCCACGGGGGGGCTGACATGTGAAGGAAGTATGGGGATAGGGAGATGTGTGTGAGATGGAAGCTTTGTCATGTAGTGCATGGAGCTAGTCAAGTAGAGCATGGTGTTCCTGGAGGACTTATACTCAGCCTCTTGTACTTTGCCTTACCTCCTTTACTGATTTCATTAGTTGCAACTGAAACTGTGCTAATAGATGAGTCAAATCTTCATCTTCACCTGGATATTTCTTCAAAGTCCCCTTCCTCATTCACAAACACCTGCAGGGCATGTCCTTCTGAATGTCCTGCCTGAGCCTCAAATTCATCTTAACTGAATGCCACAGATTTCTTTCCAAACTTGTTCCTTTAGAGCAGTCTCTCCAGACAACACAAATATATTCCTGCTCTCTAGGTTAGGAACCTGAGAGCCATCTTGTTTTCTTGTTCCTCTCTCCTTTCATATCACCTCACGCAAGTCCTCTCAAGCTATGAGCCATGTTACCTGCTAAAATAGTTATTTGTGTTTTTGTTAAGAGCAGGTATCATGGTGATTTTACTTATTGTTTATTGGTTTGTTCTTTTAATACCCTACTGTGTCTGTAATTGTGTCTCAAAGTTAATTGGTGCTCAGTGAATGAATGAATAATATGCACTTTAATCAAATATCCTGTCTTGTAGAAACTGATCATAAATATTTATATATGGATAAACAATTTTAAGGTAATTGGACTATTTCACATAGTAATGAAAAATGCTGAATAAAATCTGGAATCCTTTGAAGATTCAGAAGATATTCTAGAATTGTTTAGATACTCTTGCTTCATAATCTGAAGATTCCTGGGAACCAGCAGTTAGCATAATGGCTATGTTGCTGGATTCCCACGTAGTCTACCGTGGTTCGCGTCCCGGACCTGGTGGCTTAAAACTCACGCCGGGCGCGTGTGCGTGCGTGCCCAAGATCCTGAGAGGAGAATGGAGGAGAAGGGATTGCGGTGTGACCATCCCCCTTGGGGGGTGATTTCTCACTTTCTGTCTCTCTGTCTCTGTCTGTCTGGTGAGCGCACGCGCCCTATAGCAAAAATCTCTCAAAAAAAAAAAAAAAAAGATTCCTTATTCACATCCTGAAGAGCCAGTTTTGAAGAACAGCATGGAGGACAAATACATTTTGCTGTTTCTATGTGTGTGACCCTGATGTAGCTGAATTTGTGTATAATATGGACAGGTTTCTAGGTGTAATGCACGTGTGTTATATATATACACAAATGGATGGATGTGTGTTGGGATTAAGGTGTGCATGGCGGTGCTTATAGATGTGTATTGGATTTTGATATTAAGACTTATATGTGCAAAAATTTGAGTAACCACATTCATGTGAAAGTATGCTGATAAGCATGGCATTCAGTATGGGTATTCTTGAGTATATGTGGGGTATTTGTATATCTGGGATATAGGGTGTGGAAATGTAAAATGCCTTGTAGAGATGTATTTCTGTGATGTGTATGTTACTTTTTTTTTTTTTTTAGTTTTGCTATAGAGCACATGTGCTCACTGGAGGGAGGGAGGAAGGGGGAGAGAGAGAGAGAGGGAGAGAGAGAGAGAAAAAGAGAGAGAGAGAGAGAGAGAGAGAGAGAGAGAGAGAGAGAAAGATAGAAAGTGAGAAATCATCCACCTCCACCAGGGGGGATGGCCATGCCACAATCCCTTCTCCTCTATTTTTAGGATTTTGGGCACACATGCATATGCACCTGGAGTGTTTTTCAAGGTGCCAGGTCTGAGACTCGAACCATGTGGCTGTTGGCCATGTGGCATCCAGCCACCTTAACCTCCATACCACCTGCTGATCTTGCATGTGTTTGTTTTTAAAATATACTCTGTGAGTATGTGAGCAATCTTTAAGCCAATGGCCATAAAGATATATTTCTAATTGAAATGGTGTGTGTGTAAAACAGGTTAGAGATACTCTAGATAGTGTGGGGGCTTCTAGCCTCACACTGCTTCAAGCTGCATCATGGACCCTACATGACTGGGACATCTTCCCAGATACCTTCTGTCACCTACAGTTAGTACCATAGTCCCAGCCTTTTCTCCATTCAGCACCAGACTTCTGGCTGCTCTCTGGCTCTGATATGAGCAGGGGGGATCATAGGCATGCAACTGGTGATTTACGACTTCTCTGCTGCTATAATTCATTCTAGAACCTCTCTAGGAGTGGCAGTTATGAAGCTTTCATAAGCTCCTGTTCTTTCTCATGCCCCTCCTCTCCAATAATAAGATTTGGGAACACAGTACTCCCTCCTAGCAGTTACTAGAGCACAAGCGATCCCTTGGCCCTTAGGCTTTTTTCATAAGCCTGAATCCTATTAGGCACTACAGTGGGAGAATGAATTTGCCCCAAATTATTCCCTACCATTTGCTATTAGCATAACATGTCATTTAATACTGGAATCTTCCCCAAAGCTGAAGAGTCCTCTGGTTATTCTAACTTGCACGTCCGAAGCAAAGTATTTGCAGTCTGGTCACTTGGCCACTATCTCACTTAAAACCTCAGCATTGAGTCAAACTGGAGGGACTGAAGACTCTGAAAGATTAAGTAATTGGCCTCAGGTTACACAGTACTTTAATGAGAGAGGGGATTAGAACTCAAATTTTCATGTGTTAACTCATTTAAATGCTGCTCCTTACAAGAAAGCCTTTTGTAGATTGTGAAGAGTATAAGCCATGTAAGTTGCCATTATTACTCTTTGTTTCTGGAGCTTGTTATATCTTATTAAGTCCCCAAGATAAAAACGTGTACCCAATTTCCAGTGATACTTATATATACAGCTCTAAATTTACCACACTTAAAAATGGAGACAAGGCCCCTTGGCTTTGTTGTTAAGCAACTGGAGCTTACATGGTTTACTGTGAGGTTTGAATCTTGGACTCAGCAGTTTGAAAAATTCCAAATGGAGGGAGAGATAGAGGAGAAGGAATTGTGGTGTGACATGCCTCATGAGAGAGCTTTCTCACTTTCCCCTCTGTCTCTCTCTTCCTGTCTTTCTCTGGTGATTGCACATGCCCTCTGGCAAAAATTTAAAGAGAAAATGGAGAAGAAATAATTCTGAATTACCAAATGATCCTTTGTCTTGTGAAATGATTCTCAGCACAAATAATTAAAAACTTAAGATTTTTCTAGGCCAGCTTCTCCCATGTGCCATTGACCAGTGGTCTCCTGGGTATCACTTTTATAATTTTTATCCTGTTTGCACACCACTTCTACTATCATTCACTTTCCCCCTATTAGATTGCATCACTTCTTTTAAGCTTACACTTAAAAAAAGAATTCTATATTTCACTACTCACAAGTGGAAAGCTAGTATGACTTGGGATAATAGAAGATAATCGTCATAGAAAATAAAATGAAAACAAACAAAAAGAGAAGAGCTTAAAATTGTAGTTATCTGCTGCTGCTTGCCAAGGTTCTGGGCCTAAGGCCTGCTCTAAGTTGCTGAGGAAGATCAGCAAATGATTGCACAGTAGGGTGGCTATGGTTAACAATGATGTATTTGTGCATTTCAAAATAGCTAGGAGAGAGGATTTTGAATGTTCTCACCACAAAAAAAAAGATAAATGTGTGAAGTGATGGATATGTTAATTAATCTGATCAGTACACATTGAACATATGTATTAAAACATCACACGGTACCCCATAAATATGTACAGTTAAAAATACAATTAAAAGAAAATAAAGGACTTAGAGACACATTAATACCTGAGACTTTCTTCTTGAGATAATGAGAAGAATTGAAAGAATTGGTTCAATAATAATTCAATGTT